GGACCCCCCCACCCCCCCATGACATGTTCAGCTACGGCTGCAGTATTTTTGTCACCTACTACTGCAGCATCAGGCATTTGTAGTGGCTCTCCCACAGTTGTCAGATTAAGGACCGCCTGATGAGAGACGCCTCGTGCTCAATCCAACCGTGGGCGCCAAGAACGGTGCGACGTCACCAAACTGCTCTGGTTGTTAACAAAGGAATGCGAGCATGTTAAAATGTCCCAGCGTACATTCTTGTTCTTGTTCTTATTCCTCTCAGCCATCTCTCTTTTCTTGCTTAGTTAATTATTGTTATTTTTTTATTACACATATATGTTTATCATATACAGCTGCATGAATGAATGCCATTGAGCTTTTTTGATCATTGTAAAATGTTGTTGTGCTGTTGTCGTAATTTTTTTATGCCTCTGGACTGTGCTGTGTTGTGCAGAAACATTTAATTTGGTAGCTCACCTGATCTCCATCCCTCTCAGAATTAATTAAATATGCCTTGCTGGTGTTGCGCTTATCTCAGCCACTCAGAAGTGGCACCAAGCCTGCCAAAAGAAGCTAGCAGCACACGCTATCGTAGGCAGGATGGTCGAGTATGCTTTCAGACACGTCAGCTGCCACACTCACTGACACTTGGATCTCTGACAAACGGGGGGCTGTTGTCTCCCAGCCAGTAGACTGACTGAGAATGTGTGAACGCCTGTTAAAACACAAGCCGATGGCCTTTCCCCTGCTTGTCAACACATAAACAGAGAAAGGCAGTAAACGGCGGTGACTTACTGATCGCTGTGACCAGGGTGAGAAATTAACACACACCACCAGCCAAATGAGGATACTTTTAGGCAGTGGCAGGTCATTTTAGTCAGTCTTAGATTGTATGGTAACAACAACACACACATAGCTGTTAAAAACATTACCATTTAAAAGCTTGGGGTCGGTATGTTTTTTTGTTTGTTTGTTTTGTTTTTGGAATAAGTATCTTATGTTCACCAAGGCTGCGTCTATTTGATCAAAAATACAGTGAAAACAGTGAAATATTATTACAATTTAAAATACATTTTTAAATATATTAGATATTATATTAGAGATTATATATTTTCCGTAGTTATTTTCAGCAGCCATTACTCCAGTGTCACATGATCCTTCAGAAATAATTATAATATGCTGATTTGGTGCTCGGACCCCCCCACCCCCCCATGACATGTTCAGCTACGGCTGCAGTATTTTTGTCACCTACTACTGCAGCATCAGGCATTTGTAGTGGCTCTCCCACAGTTGTCAGATTAAGGACCGCCTGATGAGAGACGCCTCGTGCTCAATCCAACCGTGGGCGCCAAGAACGGTGCGACGTCACCAAACTGCTCTGGTTGTTAACAAAGGAATGCGAGCATGTTAAAATGTCCCAGCGTACATTCTTGTTCTTGTTCTTATTCCTCTCAGCCATCTCTCTTTTCTTGCTTAGTTAATTATTGTTATTTTTTTATTACACATATATGTTTATCATATACAGCTGCATGAATGAATGCCATTGAGCTTTTTTGATCATTGTAAAATGTTGTTGTGCTGTTGTCGTAATTTTTTTATGCCTCTGGACTGTGCTGTGTTGTGCAGAAACATTTAATTTGGTAGCTCACCTGATCTCCATCCCTCTCAGAATTAATTAAATATGCCTTGCTGGTGTTGCGCTTATCTCAGCCACTCAGAAGTGGCACCAAGCCTGCCAAAAGAAGCTAGCAGCACACGCTATCGTAGGCAGGATGGTCGAGTATGCTTTCAGACACGTCAGCTGCCACACTCACTGACACTTGGATCTCTGACAAACGGGGGGCTGTTGTCTCCCAGCCAGTAGACTGACTGAGAATGTGTGAACGCCTGTTAAAACACAAGCCGATGGCCTTTCCCCTGCTTGTCAACACATAAACAGAGAAAGGCAGTAAACGGCGGTGACTTACTGATCGCTGTGACCAGGGTGAGAAATTAACACACACCACCAGCCAAATGAGGATACTTTTAGGCAGTGGCAGGTCATTTTAGTCAGTCTTAGATTGTATGGTAACAACAACACACACATAGCTGTTAAAAACATTACCATTTAAAAGCTTGGGGTCGGTATGTTTTTTGTTTGTTTGTTTTGTTTTTGGAATAAGTATCTTATGTTCACCAAGGCTGCGTCTATTTGGTCAAAAATACAGTGAAAACAGTGAAATATTATTACAATTTAAAATACATTTTTAAATATATTAGATATTATATTAGAGATTATATATTTTCCGTAGTTATTTTCAGCAGCCATTACTCCAGTGTCACATGATCCTTCAGAAATAATTATAATATGCTGATTTGGTGCTCAAGAAATATTTCTTATTATTACCAATGTAAAAAAAAAAAACCTTGCTGCTTCATATTTTTGTGGAAACCTGTGGATTTTTTCCCCGAATTCCTTCTTCGAAAGAACAACATTTGTTTATTAAACATGTTTTGTAATAATATAAAAGTCTTCACTGTCACTTTGATTTTTTGATCATTGTAAAATGTTGTTGTGCTGTTGTCGTAATTTTTTTATGCCTCTGGACTGTGCTGTGTTGTGCAGAAACATTTAATTTGGTAGCTCACCTGATCTCCATCCCTCTCAGAATTAATTAAATATGCCTTGCTGGTGTTGCGCTTATCTCAGCCACTCAGAAGTGGCACCAAGCCTGCCAAAAGAAGCTAGCAGCACACGCTATCGTAGGCAGGATGGTCGAGTATGCTTTCAGACACGTCAGCTGCCACACTCACTGACACTTGGATCTCTGACAAACGGGGGGCTGTTGTCTCCCAGCCAGTAGACTGACTGAGAATGTGTGAACGCCTGTTAAAACACAAGCCGATGGCCTTTCCCCTGCTTGTCAACACATAAACAGAGAAAGGCAGTAAACGGCGGTGACTTACTGATCGCTGTGACCAGGGTGAGAAATTAACACACACCACCAGCCAAATGAGGATACTTTTAGGCAGTGGCAGGTCATTTTAGTCAGTCTTAGATTGTATGGTAACAACAACACACACATAGCTGTTAAAAACATTACCATTTAAAAGCTTGGGGTCGGTATGTTTTTTGTTTGTTTGTTTTGTTTTTGGAATAAGTATCTTATGTTCACCAAGGCTGCGTCTATTTGATCAAAAATACAGTGAAAACAGTGAAATATTATTACAATTTAAAATACATTTTTAAATATATTAGATATTATATTAGAGATTATATATTTTCCGTAGTTATTTTCAGCAGCCATTACTCCAGTGTCACATGATCCTTCAGAAATAATTATAATATGCTGATTTGGTGCTCAAGAAATATTTCTTATTATTATCAATGTAAAAAAAAAAAAACCTTGCTGCTTCATATTTTTGTGGAAACCTGTGGATTTTTTCCCCGAATTCCTTCTTCAAAAGAACAACATTTGTTTATTAAACATGTTTTGTAATAATATAAAAGTCTTCACTGTCACTTTGATCAATTCATTTCTTAAAAAAACAATAAAATTTACTGTCCCCAAAGTTTGTGGTAGTGTATATACAGTGCTGCTTGAAAGTTTGTGAACCCTTTAGAATTTTCTATATTTCTGCATAAATATGACCCAAAACATAAAAGAAAAGTAGACAGAGAATCCAATCAAACAAAGGAGACAAAAATATATACTTTGTCATTTATTTATTGAGAAAAATGATCCGGTGTTAAATATTTGTGAGTGCCAAAAGTATGTGAATCGTTGCTTTCAGTATCTGGTGTGACCAACCTTTTGCAGCAATAACTGCAAGTAACATTTCTTGTAACTGCTGATAAGTTCTGCGCAACGGCTTGTAGGAATTTTAGCCCATTCCTCAGTACAGAACCACTTCAACTCTGTG